CTTCTATCTATCGCTTCATTAGAAGCATAGACAAAAGTAGCAAAGAAGGGAGTACCTGAACCAACCAACACATGAAAGAACTGATCGGACTGGTCAAGAATGGTGAGCTGAACATCCTGCCTCCACAGAAGCCAAATCTTCCCCAATCCTGATGAACTATTTGCCACCTCACTTTCCCATCCTGGGAATCTCTTGTGAATCAAATCCTCATAGTCTTTCTTCCTTATTCTTGGCTCTAAAATAGCTACTATATCTACTAGTTTCTTATTTACTATAAGCTGTGCAGCTTTATTCTTGCTACTATCTTTAAACCCCCTTGTGTTCCAAACCAAAACCTTCATCGTTTTTTCCTCCTTTCCCACCCCTTTTAGCTAGGGAACCAATGGTGGAACAGGCTTCTTCTTCGATTTCTGGCTCTCAACTGTAATCCAAGGGTTATTCTCCTTCCCAACAGGAGTTGATTGCTGAGTTAACCTCCCAGAGGAATCTGGCGAGCTAACTAGAACAGTCATCTGCGGAAGAGTTGAAGAGCTCCCAGGGAGCCCTGATGGCCCTTTCAACGCATCCACAAAACTCACTGTTGAGCTCCCATTTGATGGGGAGAGAAAGACACCCTTACCCAAACTTGGACCATTCGCAGAGTTAACGGCACTAATAGGTTGGGCACATTCGTGAGATTGGCCATCCTGCAACCCTAACACAACTTCCTCAGGACTAGCACCCCCATCAACTACTTCCACTTCCTCAACCTTCATCCTAGGTACCCATTTCTTCCCCTGCTTACTAAGCCAATCACAATCGTGACCATAGATCGAACAACGTTCACAAATAATAGATTTATTCAGGTATTCCACCTCTACCTCAAATGATGGATCCTCATCTGGATAGAGCTTTACCCTTTTTGGAAATCCACAGTCTGCAGCAAGGTCCAGCCACACCTTCGCGAACCCTAATTGCCCGCCAGTCCGAGTTGACTGATCCATCCACAGTGGCCTACCGATCGTACTAGCTATCCACTCATGCCCTTCCACCGAGTGGTACTCAAAGGGAATCCTCCAGATCTTAACCCAAATCGGAAGCGTCTCTGACTCCGGCTGCACAGGCTGGATACCCAGTGACCACTTCCTAAAGAACACATGATTGCCATGGAAGTGGCAAGGCCCCGATCGAAGAACCCATCGACTTGTGGAAGCCGAGAGAAATTGGAAAACCATCAATTGAGGGCCAAATTTGGAAACCCTAACTGGCCCATCCCTGCCCCAGAGACTAGTAGCCCACTGTTGGAGAGCCACCGTCTTCAGCGGAGTGCCCATGAACTGCACGATGAGGTTGTCCTTCCACCGCTCTTCCCCTCTTTGCTTCACTTCACGGGGAAGCCGAAATCCGTCATTCTTCCGCTCAAGAGAACGAAACTTCATTATGTTCGCAGGATCCACTAAAAACAGCGAACCCCAGGTGTTGCTCACCGGAGGAGCTGCCTCTGATGGGCCTCGGCCGATGGCGAAGCCGCCAACAAAATGAGAGAGAAGAGAGAGAGATAGGAAAAATTTTCAATACAATTACTTTTTGAAAAGTACTTTTAATAGTTTTTCAGCCAAACACTCAACTGCTTTTTTTTGAAAAGTACTTCTCTAAAAGCTCAAGCCAGAAGCTGCTTGTGCAAAAGCTACAGCAGGGCCAAACTGAGCTATAAACAAATACCAAATACCAATAAGAGCTCTGTGACATGGCCAGTTCCCCTCAGTAACCAAATCTCAGCCATCAAATTTAAGTGGGCAAAAAAGTTCAGATCTAAGGGTGGAAAATTACAGACATTTTTATTTTCCCTTGTTTTCTTAATCGACTCATATCTTCTTCGTTTTAACTTGGATTTCAATTTTTTTTTTTGAACAGATGGACCGAGGATACTCCGGCTGCACAGGCTGGATACCCGGTGACCACTTCCTAAAGAACACAGGATTTCCTTGGAAGTGCCAAGGCCCCGATAGAAGAACCCATCGACTTGTGGAAGCTGAGGGAAATTGGAAAACCATCAATTGAGGGCCAAATTTGGAAACCCTAACTGGTCCATCCCTGCCCCAGAGACTAGTAGCCCACTGTTGGAGAGCCACCGGCTTCAGCGGAGTGCCCATGAACTGCACGATGAGGTTGTCCTTCCACCGCTCTTCCCCTCTTTGCTTTACTTCACGGGGAAGCCAAAATCCGTCATTCTTCCGCTCAGGAGAACGAAACTTCATTATGTTCGCAGGATCCACTGAAAACAGCGAAGCCCAGGTGTTGCTCACCGGAGGAGCTGCCTCCGATGGGCCTCGGCCGACGGCGAAGCCGCCAACAAAATGAGAGAGAAGAGAGAGAGAGAGGAAAAATTTTCAATACAATTACTTTTTGAAAAGTACTTTTAATAGTCTTTCAGCCAAACACTCAACTGCTTTTTTTGAAAAGTACTTCTCTAAAAGCTCAAGCCAGAAGCTGCTTGTGCAAAAGCTACAGCAGGGCCAAACTGAGCCATAAACAAATACCAAATACCAATAAGAGCTCTGTGACATGGCCAGTTCCCCTCAGTAACCAAATCTCAGCCATCAAATTTAAGTGGGCAAAAAAGTTCAGATCTAAGGGTGGAAAATTACAGACATTTTTATTTTCCCTTGTTTTCTTAATCGACTCATATCTTCTTCGTTTTAACTTGGATTTCAATTTTTTTTTTTTGCACAGATGGACCGAGTTCGTTATGCTCTAAAAAATGATATCCATTTTCAATATTTTTTGAGAAAAAATTTTCTTGCTCTCGTTACCAACTGCATATCATATGGTATCTTATTCGTTTTAAGTCGTTTTTTAATTTTTTTGCATAGAATGAACGAATTCATCATGATCTATTGGATCTACAAATTTCTGGGTGAACAAAATACCTGACCAAAAAATACCACACAATATCACCTTGCTATGGGGTGCTATCTTGAGGTATACAATATTGAAAGTCGTAAATGACAGTTAGTATATACCTACTATCACGTATTCAATCATCCTACAGTCTTGGTATGTTCATACCACCATGGTAAGTTTTTCCATACCATATGGTATGTTCTTATATAATACCAGTCAATACCATATGGTATATACTGGTAAAAAATGGCTTAGTTTTTTTGTTTCAAATATATATCAGAGTGAATATCATTTTGAAGAGCACAATTAATCTGATTTAAATGTGCAAAAATAATTAAATTTCAACTTTAAACGAGTGAGAAATCGTCCGTTATAGATTAAGAGGGGAAAATTAAAGGCTTTCAGAAGTGATGCTCATATGGCGGATGGTAATTAGGTTATACATAGTTACTCACCACCAATCACCATAAGGTTATGCATGAAACTGCTCCTCTATCAAATAGCTAAGCCCAAATTTCTTTCCTTTGTTATGTTTTTGGATTATTCGCCTTATTTGTTGGCATAAATGCTTACTAATTAATATATCTTGTTCGTTAATTGTATCATGAATCATGATAATAAGAAAATATTACAAATGAGGGTCTAGGATAGGGTCAGTAACCAATGGTTACTGACCTATAGGTAACTAAATTTGAACCCTTCATTTAACAAATCCAGATCTAAGGATGGAGAATTAAAGGTCATTTTTATTTTCCTTAACTTTCTTAATCGACTCATATCTTCTTCATTTTAACTCGGATTTTAATTTTTTTGCACTGATGGAACGAGTTCGTTGTGATCTACAAAATGAGATCAATTTTCAATATTTTTTTAGAAAAAAAAAATTGCTTGCCTCTCGGTACTGACTACATATCATATGGTATCTTCTTCGTTTTTAATTCGTTTTTGAAAACGTTTGCATAGAAAGAACGAGTTCATCATGATCTATTGGATCTACAAATTTATGGATGAACAAATTACAGGACCAAACAATACCACACAATACCACCCTGGTATGGGGTGGTATCTTGTGGTACGACGCCACAAATTCCAACCCCAAAAACCATATTTTGATTGTGCCTCAACTATATCAACTGTACTTGAATTGTTAGATAATCATAGTCGGTAAAAGTCGTAAATGACAGTTAATATACTTCTACTATCATGTATTCAACCATCCTATAGTCTTGGTTTGTTCATACCACCATGGTACGCTTTTCAAACCATATGTATGCTCTTATTTCAATACCAGTCAAAACCATATGGTATAGACTGATAAAAAATGGCTCAATTTTTTTTTGTTCGAAAAATATATCAAAGTGGATATCATTTTGAAGAGCACAATTAATCTAATCTAATTGTGCAAAAAAAAATTAAATTTTGACTTAAAACGAGTGAGAAATCGTTCGTCAAAGATTAAGGAGGGGAAAATTAAAGGCTTTCCAGGAGAGAGAGGGACGTTGATGTCATGCTGATGTGGACTGGTTACTCATGGTTACTCACCAATCACAATAAGGTTACTGACCCGATCCATTCCCGCAAATGAGGACTTGATTTTGCTGTAGCAGAACTGATTCTGGGCTTTTGAGTAGCGTCTGGAATTTTTGGGCCCATATCTGGCTTGTAGGATTGGCTGAAGTTTAATATGGGCTTTTGATCCTTTTATATTGAATCCTAGGGCACCTGGACGAGGCCTTTCACTTGTGGTCATTCTATTGCTTCAAATAAGCTTTCAGGCCCATGGCTGATTGGTTTCCAGTTTTGATCGCGAAGTTGCCGAGATTATCGTAGCCGTCGTTTCCACGGCGCCGGGATCTGAGGAACTATGATTTCTAGTGGGAATATGGGGTTCCAAGCAGCCGCAGGTTTCCCTCACGCAAAAGTTCGAATTTACTCCTTCTTTTCGGAATCAAGAGGTTTCCAAGGAGGAGTTCATTTTGTTCAACTCTCAATTGTTCGTGCGCTTAGTTTGCATGTTTCATTATCTGGGAGTTTCCGTCTGTTCTTTTCTCTCTCTAGTGCTCATCTCGTTCTTCAATTGGTTTTTCACCCAGTATGCTCGTCGGTTGGTAGCATCAATGGATCCCATGGACATCGATCAGGTGGTGGCGTTTGAGGATGCTGATGTCGACATTGGACCAGTGCAAGCACAGTTCAGTTTGGTAGGCAGGCTTTTGTCTCCGAATCCGATGTCCCAACAGTTAATGAATCAGGTGGCAAACGGCATGTGGGGTACTGCGGAGAATCAGATCATTGTTTATGAGGCTGAGACGGTTTCTGGCGTTTTGTTGTGGTTGATGATTAAATGTGAGAGCGCATTATTCATCGGTCACCCTGGACTGTCAAAGACTTCGTTCTTCGCCTCAAGCCATGGAGGCCAATCAATGCGGCTCTGCTTCGTGAATTAGCCAGTGTTTCTTTCTTGGTGTATATAACAGAGGAAAATATCCAATTTTCATCTAAGCCTGAACAGATCAAGCCCAAGACCGAGCAGATCAAGCCCACAACAGCAGAAAGGCCAAAGACCACTTATGCAGACGTTGTCGTTTCGGCAGCTTCCTCTACAGCTCCAGGAGTCACGTGTCGCGCGCCTAATGGTTCTCTATTAGCCAATAGAATCAATTTGTGTGTAACGGTCTAATAGTGACTGGTTTTATCCTTGTTCTTCTTCTTCCTTTCACTGCTGGGATTTCACCCAGTCACCTTTGGCTTGTAGTGACAGTATATATATGAATGAGAAGAGAAGGGAGAAGGCACGTTGTTCTCTCCAAAAACCCTTAATCGAAAACTGTTGTTATGGTATCAGAGCCTGGTTAGGGTTTCCTAACTAGACGCCGCCCTTCCTTCTTTCTTCTCTTCTTCTCTTCTTGATTTCTACGAAAATGGCGACTAACACCGCCACCTCTGGCGAGTAGACTGCCGTCATCGGCAGTACTGGTGATCCTACCAACGCTGGTAGGCAATACAATGTCTATCCACTCTCAGATCCATTTTATCTCCATGGATCAGAACAACCAGGACAAGTTCTGGTTCCTCAGAAGCTAACACCAGCCAACTACAACGACTGGAGTGCAGCAATGATCGACGCGCTTGCATCCAAAAACAAGGTGGGATTCATCGATGGGAGCATTCCTAAGCCACAGGCAGGAGACCCGATGAACTGGCCATGGACAAGCTGCAACACAATGGTCAAAACCTGGACACTACAGTCAGTTGATGAAGTAATAGGCAAGAGTGTTAGGAGTATTCAATCTGCAGCAGAAGTCTGGAAAACCCTCAAGCAAAGGTATGCTAAGGGAGATTTGATTCGAATTGTTGAACTAAAAGAGCAGTTGTGCACCCTGAAACAGGGCACCAGAACTCTATCTGAGTATCATACCCATTTGATCACAATTTGGGAAGAACTTAAGAACTATCAAAATATTCCTCCTTGCAACTGCACGCCTACAAGCCATATGGATTGTCAGGCCATCAAGACTGTAATGTCGTTTCAGGACACAGATCTCATAGTCCATTTCCTTAGAGGCTTGAATGAAAATTATGCTATCCCTAGATCACAGGTGCTGTTCTCAGACTCGTTGCCAACAATGGATCAGATTTTTTGCAAAATGGCACAGCATGAGAGGCAAATGCTCGGCAACCACCAGGACAAAGGTAAAATGGTGGAGTCCATAGCCATGGCTCTACAATCACTGGGACTAAGGATACCAGAACAGCCTCGCACTGAGTGGACCAACAATTCTGTCAATTCCACTCGAGGAAGAGGCAGAGGTCGATTTGGCAATCCAAGGCCATTCTGCACCTACTGCAAAGGTCAAGGACACACGGAGGAAACTTGCTATTACAAACACGGCTGCCACCAGGGATGTCTCCAAGAGCTGGCCGAGGCTCAAACTCGTCTGGATACAGACAAGCTCATGCTGTGATTGGAGAAGACCAAGGCAATGACGCAGTTATGATGCCCAAAGATCAGTATGAGTCATTAATGAAGCTACTGAAAGCTCATGAAGGTGGCACTTCCAACCAGACTCCACAGCAAGCCAATACTGCTCACTCAGCAGCAGCCTTTACTAGTAAGACCTATGGTGGCTCAGGCAAGTTTACATTGTCTAATTCCCCTAACATAATCCATGGCAGAAAAGAAACTTGGATACTTGATACAGGGGCGACAGACCATGTGATATGTGATTTTGATCTTTACACGAATGATGTGAAACCAGCTAAAGTTCGCATCACATTACCAACAGGAAGAACTGTTGAGGCCACTCACTCAGGATGTGTTCACTTTACAGATGCCCTGATCCTCGAAGATGTCTTGTTTGTTCCTGAGTTTAATTTTAATCTTGTGTCTGTGAGCAAGCTTACTCAGAAGAACAAACTCAGCCTAACTTTTTCATCTTCCCATTGTTTTATACAGGACATATCGAGGATGCAAATGATTGGTTCTGCTGAGCTCCATCATGGTCTTTACAAACTCAATAGAAGTTATGTCAATAGTCCTTCAGGTGTTGTTGCCTCAAGCACAACTCAATCCTTCAATTTATGGCATTATAGGCTAGGGCATGTTTCAAAATCAAGATTTGCTTACTCAAAGAAGTTGAACTCTAGTATAGATGTTGCTGAGAATCATAGTTGTGACGTTTGTCATTTTGCCAAGCAAAAACTTTTGCCATTTCCTGTTAGTAACAGTTCTACTTCCAAAGCTTTTGAATTAGTTCATACAGATATTTGGGGCCCCCTTTCACAACCCTCATACACTGGTCATCGATATTTTCTAACAATTGTTGATGACCACAGTAGGTTAACATGGGTCATTTTCATGAAACTTAAGTCAGAAGCAAGAAATCACTTGATATCTTTCTGCAACCTTGTTGAAACCCAGTACTCAGCCAAAATACACAGAATCCGCAGTGATCAAGGACAAGAATTCAATATGCCTCAATTTTATTCTGATAGAGGGATTGTCCATGAACTGTCCTGTGCTGAAAGACCTCAACAAAACTCCAAAGTAGAACGAAAACACCAGCATATACTAGCTGTAGCAAGGGCTTTGAGATTTCAAGCACAATTACCAATTGAGTTTTGGAAAGATTGTGTTAAACATGTTGTTTTCTTGATAAACAGAATTCCTTCCCAAGTTTTGGACAACAAATCCCCATTTGAGCTTTTTCACAACAAACCACCAGATTTCACATTCCTGAAAGTATTTGGATGTCTGTGATTTGCTTCCACATTGCCAAGTACTAGAACCAAATTTTCATCACGATCTAGGAAGTGTATATTCATTGGGTACACTACTGGAATCAAGGGTTTTAAGCTCTATGATGTTGATAACCATGAGGTTTTTCATTCTAGAGATGTGATTTTCCATGAATCCACCTTCCCTCTTGCTCAATCCACTCATTCTGTCCCTAGTAACTCTTCTAGTGCACCTTTACCATCCATTCCAGTCCAGGCTGATGATGATGAGGATTACACTCCTTCATCAGCAGTTCCTCTCAATTCTCCAGTCAATAGCAGCAGTTCTGACAATGATGAGTGTCCTCCTGATACTCCACCCTCCATCCAAACTTCTTCCAGTCCTGATATTCCCATTGCTCCTAGTGTTCCTGGTCCCTCTAGGGTTCTTCCTCCCAGATCAATCAAGCCCCCCAGTCATCTTGATAACTTTGAATGTGAGCACTTGGTTACCCGCAGACCACAGCTCTTTGCATCTCAGACATGTTCTGCTTCAACAAGGGAAAGGTATCCAATTTCCTCCTATATGTCTTACTCCACTTTACCTACAGACCACCATCATTTTGTTATGAGTATTTCAGCTTACATTGAACCTACCTCTTATCATGAGGCTGTCCAACATGAGGCATGGAGGCAGGCTATGAATGCTGAGAAAAGAGCCCTCATTCACAATGGTACCTGGACCATTGTTTCCTTACCAGCAGGCAAAAAGAAGATTGGATGCAAATGGGTCTATAAGATCAAGTATCTTTCTACTGGGGATATTGAACGTTTTAAGGCAAGGGTGGTAGCCAAGGGATTCACCCAAAGAGAAGGCATTGACTACATGGATACTTTTGCACCAGTAGTTAAGATGACCACAGTCAGAATTTTCTTGGCCATTGCTGCTATCCAGAAATGGCATCTCCACCAACTTGATATTAACAATGCCTTCCTCCATGGGGATTTGGAGGAAGAAGTATATATGGCTCTCCCACCAGGTTTGGAAGCCCCTGCAGGTATCCCTAATCCAGTTTGCAAACTTCACAAGTCCCTATATGGCCTTAAACAGGCTTCTAGGCAGTGGTTTGCTAAACTCTCAGACAGTTTGATTCAGCTTGGTTATCAGTCCAGTAAAGCAGACCCTTCCCTCTTCATTCGATCTACCAAGCATTCTTACACAGCCATTTTGGTTTATGTTGATGATCTGATCATAGGGGGTACTGATATGTCTGAAATCAACAGAATCAAGTCCTATATCCACCAAGCCTTCAGCATCAAGGACCTGGGTGAGCTCAAGTATTTCTTAGGCCTTGAAGTGGCCAGAACTGATAAAGGAATTCATTTGTGTCAAAGGAAATATGCATTAGAGGTTCTTGATGAAGCTGGTTACTTAGGTGTTAAACCTGTTACTACCCCCATGGATTACAAGGTGCACTTAAGTTCTACTGATGGAACTGATTTAGTGGATGCCACAGCCTATCGAAGCCTTGTTGGTAAACTCATTTACCTCACCACCACAAGGCCAGAAATTAGCTTTGCTACACAACAAGTGAGCCAATTTATGTCATCTCCCTCCATCATTCATCAAAAGGCTGTTAATCGGATTCTAAGATATGTCAAAAGGAATCCAGGTCTTGGTCTGTTTTTTCCATCAGCTTCCTCCTTATCTCTGAAAGCATTCAGTGACTCAGACTGGGGAGCATGTCCAGACACTCGTCGTTCTGTTACAGGGTATTGTGTCTTCCTTGGTGATTCCCTCATATCCTGGAAATCCAAGAAGCAGACATCTGTTTCTCGTTCCTCCTGTGAAGCGGAGTATCGAGCCCTTGCTTACACGACCTGCGAAGTGCAGTGGCTCCTTTTCCTTCTTCAGGATTTCCAGGTTCATCATCCATCACCAGTCAGCTTATTTTGTGATAATCAGTCTGTTGTCTACATCTCTGAAAATCCCACCTTTCATGAACGAACCAAGCATATAGAGCTTGATTGTCATTTGGTTCGTGAGAAGCTGCAAGCAGGCATCATCAAGGTACTCCATGTCCCTTCCACCCATCAGCTTGCTGATATTCTGACAAAACCACTTTCCCCTGCTCCATTTGCTGATCTTCTGTCCAAGCTCGGAGTGATCAATCTGTTCCCTCCAGCTTGTGGGGGGTAACACACAAATCTGTTCCCTCCAGATCAAGCC